TTGCAGCTCTGGGCACAGCATCAGGGTTCAAACACAACACTGTCCCCTTTAGCTGGTTGCAATAATCTAACGCACTCTAATAACTGTTCTCTTCTGCCTTCCCTTCCCTCTTCCCTTTTGATGCCTGTAGAAGCAGTGTGGACAGTTTAGCACCAGTCCCAGTCCCAGGCAGTCTGGTCACACAACATGGCACAGCACCATCGCTCATGGAACACAAATGTGCCGAGGCCTTCACCACCGCACACCATAACTTCTAAGTATCCAGTTCCACTTCAAGTACCCCAGCTCTGACATCCTGTCTGCAACAGTGGCTGGGAAGAGTTGTCAGAAATCCAGGAGATGAAGAGCAATGATTTACCTATTAGTGTCTGTTATTTAAACAAACATCACCCCACCCAAGCCTCCTGACATTGGTGCAGACTCTGAAGCAATGAAGGGACTTCACAGAAAGCATTCTCTCCACATCCTCGAGAATCAATAATCCACTTGTGCAGTTCACTTGGATTCTATTTTTAAAACTGTTTTTACAGATTACCAGACACAACAATTTTCCTTCCTAACATACACCTTGCTTAGAGAAGCGCTTGCAGAAAGTTGGAAAAAAGCATTATGAATATACAGCAAATAGCACCAACTAATCTAATTATATACTTAATAACTCCTTAGCATTCCAGAGAAGCAGTGGATTATATTTGACAGAGGAGATGTACTGCAAGAAGAGCAATCTTGTGCTCAGAGCAGAGCTGGCCTATCTGCAGTGCATTGCTGTCACTGGGATATGCTCTATGCCAATGGCAGCATAGCCACGGACCTGGTTGTCACAGCTGAGAAGCATTAGTGTCCTCCTGGCACAGGAAAGTATTTTAGAAAAACCTTCAAGAGTCTGATGTCATGTAAGGTACCCTAAATGACCCTATAGACACTTCATTAAAAAGCCAAACTCTACAGCACAGAAACAAGTAGGATTGATGCACTTGTACTACTGCATATCAAAGAGAATCCTCTCCAAGCAGGTACCAGAAAAAAGACATTCAATAGCAAATTTTATGAGAGAAGGATAAAAACCAGGTAGTTCAACAGTTCCTGAAATCCCAGTGGTGGTCAATAAATCGACTTGTGCTTCACATTATATGAAGAGGCTGTACTTAGCAAATCACTGTGTAAGCTGCCTCAATAACAGCACTCCTGCTATCAAGTTTACTTGCAATGAGTCCAACAAAGAAATTAATTTCTTAGATGACAAGAAAAGGTTATCTAGAACGGGGAAAACACAGGAGACAAAGATTTCCACTAATAAAACAAATATCAGACTCTGAGCTGAATTTGAAGCTATCTTTTTTTCCTCTGAAAGATTTTAAATCCCTGTAGCCCAAACACTAGAGCTACAAAGAAAACATCCTACAACCTGCCCTGCTAAAAACACAAGAAGAGCAGAATGAGCCAGAGCTCTTTTCAGCACGTTACTCCCTCAGCCACATGCACGCTGCTCCTCAGGCCCAGAATGAGGAAATGTACTGCAACCCAAATTCCAGACTTAAAAGTAAACCACACTTTGAGCTAGTAGTTGATTTACTGTCCAAAAACTTCAGTACAATATAATTTCAGAATTCAGGACATGCCCTTTTCACAAGTACAAAGGTGTTTCTCATGACTCCAAAAAGTAACAAAACACACACCTTCCTAGTCTGATCTTACTGATTTTATTGATCTGTTTCTTCCCAAGAGATAGTCCCATCTTATTTTCCAATTATCAATTTTTTCATAAATATTTCCACAAACAGGCACCACTTTCCTCTATGCCCCCCTTTTTTCCTCTCACTGTAATACACAGCCTTCAGTTATTGCTCTCATTTCATTCTTTTCACACTTTTCTATGCACATCAAGTGAGCAAACTGACCTGGTTTATCCACATGCCCATAGGAAGCCAGCCACAAACATGAGACACAGAGGTTTGATTTCGAAAAAGTCATTATAAAAAAAAGAGCAGATTCCCTGTTTCTGCTGCCCAAAGATATGCTCCCACCAGTTCTTATAGCAATTCAATCCATCTGACATCCAAGAACTCTATGATCACATCACACAACTGGCCTCTACGCTGAATGGCTTGGTGGCAATACTGCACCCACAGGACCAATTTCTATAGATTTGGGGTTAGTTGTAAAAGTTTGTTGAATTTCCCTATTTCATGGCTGCAAAGATTAACATCAAATTTTAATCAATTATAAGCCAAAGCCATGTAGTTCACCTGAAATAATAACCCAAAGAGATTTAGACCCTCAGCTTCTGTCCTACCTTGATCTAATCCTGGCTGCCCAAACCAGTGACAAAGGCCTTTGAGGTCACAATCACCCGTTTAGTGCCATTGCTAGCAGTTGAGCAGGGGACCTCTAGGAACCACCATCCTGAGAAAGGATTCCTGCAAGCTGAAGTCTCACAGGAAATCATGACTCTGCTAGGACATTTATAACTTGAGTGAGTGGCTTGAACTAGGTCAGATGGGAAAGGGTTAAGATCTAGGTTTCGATTTCCATGGTGATTAGAAGAAAGAGCTTGTCTGAGAAGCTGTTTGGACCATTAATGCTCCTTTTTAGTATCCTTTGGAAAACACAGGCTATTTGAGAGGGCAGAGGGAAACAATAAGAGGTTGTGTTTTTTTTAAATCTGGTGACTTGAGTAGCTATAATCTTGTCTGTGTGACACTGATCTCAAAGCAACAGAATAGCCAATACAAGACCCTGGCTAGAACAAAATGGAGAGGATAATATAACATTAACGACATAAGTTTACAGAAAATATATTCTTGCACTAAGCATGATTTTTAATTAAAAGTTTATTGCTAATTAATAGCACAGATATAGCAGGTTTTTGTAAGGCAGTTGACTTGATGCAAAATGACATTTGATTAAGAAACTCAAAATCAACATGACACATCAAGTGGGCTAGAGACTGATAGGCCCCAGAATGTAATTGCAGATGAGGCCAAACACTAAATAAATGTTTCCAGCTTATATCAATTAAATATCAACACAAAAGAAAACGGTTTCTTTTATCCCACCCTCAAGAGATGACCTTATGTTATGCAGCAGTTTTGTCTGTACTCTGGAAAAAAGCACAAGATGATTACTGAACAAATTTACAGATTAGAGTCATGAAAACAAGGATCAGTGGTAGAAAGCCATTTAGTTTGCCAGGTAAAGAAGAGTGGAGAAAAGATCACTGTTTTTAATATAGCTAAATGTAAGAAAACATGCCTAAGCCCCACTTCCAGGCTGGCAGCCTCTCTTGAAAGCAGGTAATCTGAAAGGTCACTGCAGAAAAACATTTGTAGGGACTTCAGGGAGATACTGTGGGTAAATAGGACCATGAAGATAATTTTGCTTTCAAATTTCCTCCAAAGCTAAAACTACACAAGTGAGGCTTTGGAAAACAGTCGACAGCAGCTGGTGACAGAAACTCACATATTAGAAGAGCAAAACCAACACCTCCCCTCGGAAGCTGCCAACAGTTTGATTGAAACAGAGGTAAGGAAGCATTTGGGCATCTCATGCGTTCCTTGAAGGTCAAATTGGACAAAACTCAGGTATATGAGAGACAATTAGGAAGGAAATATGATGGATGGCAAGTCTACTGACAGGTCTCTGAGGAATATCCTCATGTGTCAATAACAAACGTTCAAGCTCTCCTGCTTCTTCCTTTCATACCTTGTCTTTGCAGATCATGCAGAGCATTAATATTTCCTTTTCCTGAAGGAACTCTCATATCTTGAAAAGCTAAACTTGAAGGGAGCTACTCACACCTGGTGCAACTAAACATTTTGCTTTCTTCAGCAATGAAATCCCACTACATATCACAGTTTTTTTCTGAGGTGTAGAAATGCCAGGTAATGCTGTGATCTCACTCACCTGTTACAAAACCTCTTAGCAAGCGTTCTGAGATCCCCCCAGCCACTGAGAGTCCCACAACAGGACTTGACACACACCAAATGCACCCAGAACATCTGCTGCTTTGTTCTGGCCATAAACATATAGAAAGGAGAGGAAGAAAAAGCCTGCAGAACAATTTATTCTGGATCTCTTTACATCAAAACTCATACATCACGCTCCTTCAGGTAATCCCTCTCCCTTTATATCAAGTTGTATTTAGATCATCACATGCAGCTGAACGACTCAAAGCCTGAAACACGAAAGCTCAAGGAACATAAGAAGTGCACGAGAACACGTAAGGAGCACGACAGAGCTGAGGAATTACAGCCCTACCTCCCAATTCCCGGTTCTTGGGTTCCCACCTGTCAGCCACAGCCGTGTGGAACAGCCCAGCTGTGATTCTGGCCTTGACCAAGCCAGGTACAACACCTCTTCAGCAGCTGTGATTAATCAAGAGCTCTAACACAAGCTCTTTTAACCACACTAAGGGGAGATTTCTGCCACAAGAAGTATTACACTACAGAACCAGCTTAGACAGCTCCAAGCCAAGTTTCTCCCAGCAGAGCCCACCTGACCACAAGCCAGGACCCAGCTGCAGTGGAGACATTTGTGGTTTCCCTACCTGCCACCTACCTGCCTCCACCATCAATGTACAGCTTCAAAGGGACACTCAAAAGAAAGCTGGAGGGACAGAGAGGAATCAATGGCAAAACAAAACTAAAAAGCTTTCAAGTGTTTTGGGACTCTAGAAATGAGGGGGTTGTATTTTTAGCCTGCATACAGGCAGCTCAAGGTGCTTTTCTTTGTCCCCATGACAGTAGGTAAGTGAATACACCTGCCTTGCCTCACTCCCTGCTGATGGTAAACACGAGGTCTTGCATTCAGGTTACAACATGGAGTTACTTCAGAGCAGCCCTGTGCCAAAATAGCACATTTCTGAGGGATGCAAAGGTATTCAATAAAAAGCTTTTAAAGGCATATTTTTAAACTTGCAGCAGGAAAGCTTTTCTGTGTCAAGACAGTAATTCTTTTAGCAGCATTGATCAAAATGTCATTCTTTTATGAGTGTACAATACCTTTTAATGGCATACAACAAGCCATTAGGGTTCTACACCTCCGTGCAGCACACAGCTTACTGGAAAATCAGGAACACTGGCCAAGAGACAGCCACTGGGTTTTGTGCCTGTATAAAGGCAGAGTTTCTTCCATTCTCCCCAGCTCTGCTACACCCAAATACATACAAGTGAAGTGACACAAAAATTAAGCCAAACTTCTCATCAATTCTACAAGAGCTATTTTCCCACACATTTCCCCCAAGAAATACCTCTCATAAACACAACAAATATTCTAGCTTTCCAAAGTGGGATTCTATCACTAGGATCTGATCTGGCTCTTTGTTTTCCACACCAATGATCACACTTACCCCAAATCAGCACTGACTGAGGAATGAGAGTGGGATGAATTCCACAAAATGGGTTTGATTTTCAGAAATGGGAAGAAGTGCCACCTGCCCTTTGCTAACACTGAGGCCTGGTCAGAATCCATCTACAAATCATCCAGTTCTTTTCAAGTGCTTCAACCCTTCAAAGGGTGACAGCACTGGTGATTGCATTTGCTCTGCTTGAATGGAAGACCAGCATGGGCTTTCTGGATGCATTCAGCACTTTACAGCCTGATTTTAGTTACAAATATCAACAGGAAAGAGAATGCTTTCTGTCAACCTACCTTCAAGGCTTTTCCCATCAAGGATAAGAGAATATTTATGGGATTTAATCATTACTGTTAACTGAGCAGTGGCAGCAGCAAAAGAGCTTTATTTCACTATCTGAAATTCTAAGGAATAATAGCAAGGTCTTCTCAGCTACTTCTGAAAGTGTAAAGCCATCAGTATAAACAGATAAAACAACAATTCCAATAAAACATAAGGTAAAATTGTAAATCAAAGACAAGAAAACTGACTAGAAAGAGGAGACAGAAAAAAATTGAGGTTCTAAAATCAAAAGCTGGAGTGAAATTAATTACAGTTAAGAAAAGTTTAAGGGGCTGCTTGTCTCTTACCTGTTCAGAAGCAGCCTTGCCCTTCTGACTTCCAGTTATGAGATACTGCAGTGAGTCTCCTCAGTCACATCTAGAATTTCAAATCAAAGAGAATTTTTTTATTTTACATAATTTTTATAAGCATACATAAATTCAGCTCAAACAATACAATTTATGCTCCAGAAGATGCCATTGCCTCAGTCAGAACATCAAGAAGTCAACAGTGCTCACATCTCCCCTGCATTCGTTATTAAACATACAGTCAGACACAGAGAGGTCACACCCCAAGACCAGAGCTGTGCCACATGGTCCAACTGATAACCCAGACCAAAACTGGTCAGAATCAGAATTTCATAGTTATCAGTTATCATATTTCTCACTATCACCTACCAGAGAGTTCAGAGTTGCTTCTTCGTTGTTGCAGTCAAAAGAGTAAATACACATTCAAGCACATGTTTGGGGGTTCTTAAACAAACAGATGATTTCTAGGTTACCTGAAGTATGACAACTAAGAAAACCTGGATTTTGTGGTAGCAACTAATTAACCTACGCTAAATTCTGTGCAATAAATGCTGTGGCACCATAGGAGAGCTGTTCCTGTCTTTTTTCCCCTAGAGCCTGATTCAGTAAAAGCAACTCCCTATTTCTCTCTCTCATCAGTGATGTAGAAATAAACTCAGGTTTTGAATTAAGGAGGTCAAACAGGACCAACATAAACAGGAACTCGACACATTGAGCACTTCAGCTTCTATCAGCTCGATGTTTCACTTTAAATCTCCATCCCTGAAGGCTTTTAATACCAGGTTTGGAATAATTTGTCAGAAAATATATAGAAGCATTTCATCCCCCTTTTCAGCAAGGAATCAGACCGGATGATGTATCCCAAAGTTTTTGCAGAATAACCTGCCTAGAGAAAGTTTTGCACCCAGGTGTTAAACCCAATGACCACTGTGACGATCTCCACAGCGGCTTGCTGAGCTTTGCCTCTCAGCCCACCACTCTTCCCTACAAAGAGTTCAGGGAACTGCTTGGACATATGGGATCCTCCCGAGCACTAACCTGGTCCGCAGTTTGGCAGGTGCCCGTTTTTTTCAGGACCCTGCAACGCGGAGCCTGTCCCATCACTTCTCCCGGAACGGCAACGGAGGAGCCGGCGGGAGCGCGGCCTGTCCTGGACTGGGAGTGGGCGGCACGGGAGAGGAGCTCTGCCTCCCGCCGCCCTCCCGGGACAGGAGGGATGCCGGGGGCAGCGGGAGGCAGAGGGGAAGCCTGGGCTGCACGAGGGGCACAGCGCACCTGCCGCCAGCGCGGGGCGTTCTCCCGGGCCTCGCGGCGCCCGGAGCCGGTGACCGGAGAACGCGAACCCCGAACCACGAGCCCCTCCCGCCGTTCGAACGCGCCCGCCAGCCCGTCCTCCCGCCCCGCCCCGTACTGACCGTGCCCTCGCCCAATCCTGAGGCGGGGGAGACAAAGCCCCGCCCCCAAAAGGACCAATCAACACTCGCCAAGGGCGGGGGCGGGGCCGCCCGCGCACACGGAAGGCCTCACGAGCCCCTCGGTCTCTGAAGACGTTGATGGACGTAAGAATGACCCAATAGCAGCTCAGCCTCCCGCCCGTGCGTGGCGCCAATTGGCCATCCCGCCCGGAGCGAGGAGGCGCGTTGCCATGGGGACGAGGGGACACCGCGGGACGGGACAGGGACCCCCCGGGCCCCGCGCCAGAGCCGGCTCGGCCCGGCCCGCTGTGCGTTCGGCATCTCCGGACCCCAGCAGCGGTGCTGCTCCCGGCCAACCCCGCAGAGAGCGAGGCTCCTGTCCTCTGTCACGCAGAGAAGCCACTCAGTGATTACACAATGGTTTGGGGGGCTCGGGTCGAATATCACTGACCTGCGCTGTCCCTCAGGGCAGCCCCAGGCCCTGCTTCCATCGACTCGCCAGCGTTCCAGTCACAGCTGTAACCTCGCCAAAGCCATCGAAGCTAGACCTTGATTTATGTGTGTTACAAGCCGCTGAAGGAGTTGCTGCTGCCTCTGAGGCACACACAGACCTGACTTGACACAGAGGAAGCCTCCAAACCCAGGAGATGCTGGAGATGGCTTGCTCTCCCATGTAAGGGAAGCAGCCAGTTTGAGAAATAGAAAGGTTGTTGAAAGAGGTGTCATTAGCACAGGGAAAGCATAAGCCAAGCTTTGGAGTTGGGAAACCTGCATGACTCATACATCTGTTCATGAGACAATTTAGAAACCAAATTGCTGTAGGCAAAAAATAAGAAAAAAATTACAAATGCACAGACAAATGGTAAATCATAGTAGCAAGGAACTGCCTGGCTGCCCTGACACTGGATGGAGAAGCAGGGAGAGAACTGAGCTCACTGAAACCCTAAAGGTGTAAATAATGACAGGGAGCTGCTGTTTCTCACAGCGCTCACTCCTTGTTGGCAGGATGGAGTTCAGCTTGTCCAGGCCCTGCTCACAGTGATAGGTCTGGGAAACAGTGCAAGGCAAAGCTCCAGGCTGTGATCTCCAGGAGGAAAACAGCACTGGAAATTCACTTCTCCCTTCTTGAAACTGGATTGTGACCGCAGAGAGAGAGAATGCTTGGAACTTAGTCTGCTGTTTGAAGAGGATTTAAGTAAAACAAATATTTTTGTAATAAAAATTTAATATCCTTTTTTTGGGCTTTGTAATCAAAGCAGCTTTCTAAGCTATGCGCGCATGGACAGTAATCCTCCCCTAATCTTACTCGCCTCAGGCATAGGAGATGCTTAGGAAATAACAAAACACTGCCTACTACAGGAGAAACTTCTAACTTGTTTTTGTCTAACTCAGCATAAGGCCAAGCCTCAGGTGCAATGGACCATCACATGAAAAATGTAACAGAGCTCAAACATAAAATACTCTCGCAGCCATGTATATAGATCAAATACCAGATGGCATGAATGGGGTAACTGTGAGATGGTGTTGGGGATGGAAGTCCAGTTCCAGATTCTTTTACCAGAACAAGGTATCATTTAAATATGTGAAATCCAGGGAGACAGCAAGAGAACCAGGGTTTTGTGGGGGCCAGAGCCCAATTATGGTCACTGCTGGGCACATTACAACCATATTTCCTCAGAATTTCCACTACAACTCTTTCCCCATCTCTCATAACTTTTTAACAATTTTCTAACCAGAAACTTTTCTATCTTGAAAATATATTTAGACCTTTTTTCTCTTAGTATTCCTTCAGCTGAAATCTGCATGGGTAAAAAATTTGAAATTAGGAGCAGCAGTCATCCACACCAACACGTGCCTTTATGTAATTTGGCTTTGATTCACCACTCATAGGTGTATGAAATTAGGACTGTGTTTACTGACCTTACACTTGAGGACATCTGCTGCTGGTTGATGTAGCTGATGCCTTCATTGGGGAAGATCCCTTTTTTCCCCTTTCAAGGACACATGAATTCCTCCAGTCTGCAGGAATGCACGCCAGGTGTGCTTTGCTCCACTCTGCTGGTGTCAAAGCCCTGGTGTCTGAGCAGGGGTGTGAGGGACCCCGCAGAGGCCAACTCTATTTTATTATGGCTAATATACTAAGACCCATCCTAGTTTGGAATCGAGCCAAGGCCTCAAACTGAAATTGCTTCCTTGTAAGCTGATTTGCTCCAGTCAGTGAATTGAGGGAAGAGTTCCCTTCCCATCCTGTTAGACTTGCCGTCTTGGCAATGTTAATAAAATAGACCCCAACCAAGGACAGGTGGCAGGATGCCAGGACAATGCATCAAAACTATCTTTCCTGGAGAGAATCATCCAGCAGGTTGTCATGAGGAGATGTGCCTCTACCAGCCTGCCAGGGACTCATCTGGAAGAGCCCTGCAGAACCACAGCTGCCAGATAGAGGTGTGAGCCAGAAGCACAAACCCAGGTGCCCGCAGCCATCAGCGACACACAGTGCTGGCTCTGTGCCATGAGGTGCATCACTCACTGTTACAGTGTCCCCTCACCAGGCACAATGATCCTGCAGGTGTGGAGACCTGCTGGTCCAACCCCAAGCAGGGCAGAGGTGGTGCTGACAGGCCATGAGGGGCACTCCAAGCCCTGACTGTCACTACTCAGTCAGCCAAGGTGGGAGGCAGAACGTCTTTGTACAGCCCCAGGGCTGTATCCAAGGCATGTGCTGGGAACCCTTGTTAAACCTGAGCCCTCCAAGAGCGGCTCCAGTAGCAAAGCTCCTCCTGCTCTGGAGCCAATGGAGCCTCTCCCACTGTGGCATGGCTGAGCCCAGAGGCCAGGCTGAGTAGCCACAGTGGCACCTGTGGCCAGGAGAGCAGGGAGGGAGGATGCAGAACTCCCAAGAGTGCTAGAGGAGTTGGAGAGAAAACTCTGGAGCTGGCTGCTCCCTTGTGCACACTCCATGGGCCTTCACTCCCCATTAAAGAGTGCTGGGTACACAAACTCACTGGTGGTGGTAACCCTGCTGTGGAAAGGATGCCTAGACGTGCTGGAGCTGAGCAGTCCCTTAAGAGGTTACAGGTGGAGCCCATTTGTGGCACCCGTTTGTGCTCACAGCTATGACAGCTTAGAATCATAGCATTATTAAGGTTGGAAAAGACCTTTAAGGTCACCAAGTCCAACTATTAGTCCAGCACCACTATCATGTTGACCACTAAACCAAGTCCCCAAATGCCACATCCATATGTTTTTTGAACACTTCCATGGATGGTGATTCCACAGCCTCTCTGGGCAGACTGTGCCAGGGCTTTACAAGCCTTTCTGTGAAAAAAAAATCCCTAATATCCAACTGAACCTCCCCTGGCTCAACTTAAGGCCATTTCCTCTTGTCCTGTCACTTGTTAGCTGGGAGAAGAGACCAATCCCCGCCTGTCTCCAGCCTCCTGTCAGGTAGCTGTAGAGAGCAAGAAGGTGCCCACTCCAGTGCTCTTGCATTTGGGATGAGATTAAAATTGTAATGTCAACTATTAAAATATTAAAATGATATTTTCATTTTCCTTCTGCTTCCTGGGGAGCAATGGCACATTGGAAGAAAGTTTGCTGTGATTCCTCTGAGGTGTGAGACAGTAACTAATTACTGGAGAAGATGAGATACAGTCCTGTGATTCCCTGGAATATCTGCTAAGCCTCGGGACGGTTTGTATATATTGGAACCCCTCCTCTACAAAGAAAAGATAAACAGACAGCGCTGGAGCAAGCAGCAGCTCTGGATAGTCACTGGTCTCAGAGTTAATCCAGAACCTGGTAAATAAAGCTGCAGACAGTTAATTAATTAGAGGAATAAAGCACAGAAATAATATTTTGCAGTAGGATTAGTTCATCTAGAGGGTACCTGGTGAACTCATAGGAAGTGTGGGGAGAGAGGTAAAGAAGACACTAAATTGCCTTCAGCTCTTTAAATCATTTCTGCAGATCCTATTACAGAAGAGAAAGGGAAATGGCTGCAGAACAAATCATGGGAGTTCCTGTTTCCAGTGGTCTGACAGACCCTCTAAAAGAGAGAGAGAAAACGCCTGTGTGCGCTGGAAGCAATAAAAGACACATTTGTTCCTCATTCATCACCGCGTCATCCTCGGGCGCGCACAGACACTGCCGAGCCCGCTGGGGCGGGGGATTAGGACAGCCCCTGGCTCCGGAGCGTCTGCCCCGTAGCGCCCTGCGGCTGTTTTTGGGGTCAACCCTGCCTCTACCCCAGCCTGGTGGGATGGATAGGACGGTGCCTGGTAGGCTCAGAGCAGGGGAGCAGGCACGGACCATGGCGTGGTCTGCCAGGGCATCTCTGATTCTAAACCCAGGCACCACAACTACACCCCTTGGGCACAAAAAAAGGGAAGTCCCAAGGTACAGCATGCCCTCATCATCTCTCTGAAGGAGCAGCTGTGGCAGCTCAGGTGAGTGAGTGCACTCAGCCACCAGAGCTGCTGTGTGTGAGCTGACACAGTAATGAAGAGAAGGAATAAGAGTGTCAGAATCACAGAATATGCTGAGTTAAACGGATCCATCAGGATCCCTAAGCCCAACTCTGGCCCTGTGCAAGACACCTCCAGAATCACATCATGTGCCTGAGAGTGTTGTCCAAATGCCTACTGAGCTCTGTTAGCTGTGACCACTTCCCTGAGGAGCCTGTTCCAGTGCCCAACCACCTTCTGAATGAAGAACCTTTTTCTAATATTCAGCCTAAACCTCCCCTGCCACAGCTCCAGCTGTTCCCTTGGGTCCTGTCATTGGTCACAGAGAGCGAGATCAGTGCCTGCTCCTCCTCAAGGTCAGCTGGGAGTTGACCATTCTCACAGTAATAGTCCTCCAGTTCAGGGCACTGAGAACCCCTTGATCCGTCATCTGTGTTGAAGACAGAGGC